TGATCGAAACCTACCAGCAATCAAGTAATGGCAAGGCTTCTAGGTTGCCTATTTGAACAAGTTTTAGTCTCTCCTTTTTCCCTCTATAGCCGCGGCACTACCAAAGGAAAGAACAAAGAGTTTAGTACATTTTGTGAAGTCCATGAATGCTTCGAAATGGTGAGTGTGTTAGTGAGAAATACCTAATTGTTCCAAGATCAAATACAAGCCTGGATCTTAGTCCTTCTTCCTAATAATTCCACCAAAGAACCCTTCATCTCTAAGCAAGAAAATCCTTCTTCTCCTCTCTTTAAGCTTGCGGCCTTGTATGTTCAAGGAGGAAGGAAGTTCATTCAAGAAGATTCAAAGTAGTCAAAGGTCAAGAAGTGTTTCCTTAAGTCGTTGATCATCTTCAAAGGTAAGCCTATGAACCTTCTTGGTTAGGAATGACATGTAAAAGCATGAAAGTGATATCCTAAGTATATGATCCCTAGAAGGCCGAACCATGTATGATAATTATAAGCATGAAGAGATGTTTAAATGATATGAAAGATGATGAAATGATGATGTTAGATTAGCATGTTTAGTAGCCTAGGTTCTAAATCAATTTTGCATGATCATAACCTTAGTTGGCCGAATATATAAGATGATGTTTTGAATGATGCTCTAGGATTTAAATATGATAAATTATCAATAATGTTAGAAGCATGTTTTAGAAGTAATCCCTTAGGTATTTTAGGGCAATAAGGCCGAATGGTATGTAGCTAAAAGAGGTTTTATTTGATTAATGTTGAAAGGATCTAACCATGTTAAGTTAATAATATAATTGAAAGCATGTTTTAAAAATTATATTCCTAGATGTTTATCTATGGTGGCCGAACCTATACATGCCTAGAATGAAATCTTTAATAATTCTATTAAGTGTTATGATAACCTAATAATGTCCTAAAACCTACACAAGTGGGTAAGTAAGCAAAACAACTCCTCTAGGTAATTAAACCTGCAAAGCCGAGACCTATACATGGATAAAACACAAATGTTGAATGTTATATAAGTTACTAAAAGATGATATGATGATGTTAGGGAGTCAAGGGAGCAAACAGGCAAGTAAAGAGGTCAAAAGTTGAAAGTATACAAGTAAAGAACGACAAGTATTGTAAGTGTTTACAGTTGTTGAAGTAATCTCTCTATGTATGCCACCATTATGAAACTATGATAAGTTATGGTCTGACTGCAATATGTTTATAGTGCTTTACATTATGTGATTATGATATTTTTGAAACTTAAAACCATGCTATTAAATGTTGGCCTGTGCACTGATACTCCAGTTGCAACCTGACGAGGACTCTGGGTATCTCCATAAGTCCGTAAAAGCCGGCAGGAATATGATGATGATGATGATGGCATGATATTTTTATATGATGATGTTAAATGTTCCATTTTGTATTGTTATTATAAACTGTTGCAGGAGTAAGCGTCAGAGTTGGAGAATGCTCCAGCTGTGAACCTTACTGAGATTTTCCCCAAAATCTCACCCCCCTTGACCACCCATTTCAGGAAAAGATGAAAGAAAGTAATAAGAAAGTTATGTGGGAAAGAAAGGGTAAGAGACTGGTACGTAAAGAAGAAGAAACTCCACCTACCTGGGAAGAGAAACTAAAGGATCTAACAGATAGAGGCCTATGGACTGAGGCTATGAAATTATTAATAGAAGCTTTTCCACATTATGATTTCGATGAAGCACTAAGTACATCATGTAGTAATAAAGACTTACAATACTTGGCATTTAAATTTGAAGCTGAGACATGTTTGATAAGTCGCGAGCCCAGAGGTGGTGGGCTGAGAATTGCGACATGATCAGGGAGCTTCTTAATATACAGACTTTAAATCAACGTGTTTTCATCACTCCTGCAAGGTCTGATGATAATGAGGTAATCTACAACTTTTACACACATATGATGTTGTTAAGAGTTAAGACTCTATTTCATCGACCTTGTTATTTTTCATGATACTTCAATTCATGTTTATCACTATATCGTGAGAAGAGGTTGACATAAATAAGAGCTCTCTATTGGATTCTCGAGATTCATTCATGTACATTACTATTTCCTTTGAACAGAACTCGGGGGAATCTGAACAAGATGTCCCAATGGCCTCAATGCTGAACATGGATTCGACTCCGGGGAATTTCCATGCACCCGCTGGGAATATGGGGTATTTCCATGGTGGGTTATCAAGGGCTAACAACCCTATCGACAATGACATGGATGCTGAATGGGTTGAGCAGGATGATCCTGGAGTGTCAATCACTGTGAAGAGGTCAGCTAATGGGACTAGGCAAATTCGCCGTATCAAATTCAGGTAATATAAAATGCATATCAAAAACATGTTCCTTATTGTTTTTTCCTTCACAATTAGATGGTCGTAGGAGCATGTTCTTTGGTGAAATTAGGAAATGGTAAAATCCTAGATTGCATGTAACATGTTGCCAAATTTCATTTAAAAATTTATTTAGAAGATTAGTGGGTTTTGATTTGACTCTTTGTTAACTCTGTCTGCAGCCGGGAAATTTTTGATGCAGATGCAGCCAAGGATTGGTGGCTGCGCAACAGGGTTCGAGTTCATGCTCAGTATATGTGAAGCCTTGTTGCTGTGAATAAAAGTGGATGTTCTAAACTGCTGGAATTTTCAACTTTTCTTTCCTAGACATTGTTATCTTCTTCTTGTTGTTGTTCACTCCAGTATATGGAGTGTAGTCTTGGTGATGGTCTCTTAATATGTTATAGTTGGTACTATTTCGTAAGTTTAAGTTTGTGGTTCTCTATTTACTCCAATTACTGTGGGGTATATTGCTGTTGATTTATCTTTGGTTGAACATTTGGTAAGTTTGGTTATTTAAGACCAACTTGCTCTTTTATAATATATATTTTCCTTGTGTGGTTTATCAGCGCAAGCTTGTAAAAACCCTATATGTTAATGAATGATACGTAATCTTTTCCCTAAATCCTTAGAGATCCTTCTTAAAACTTAAAAAAATATATTTCTGTTATAAAAAAAAAAACTTATATATATATATATTTCAGACATAATAAGCATTATAAAAAATATTTCTTCGTTTAACTCGTGATATCACTGCAGTCCTGTTTGCATAAAATATTTAAAAAATTTAAAAGATTAAATATACATATTAAAACTGTGTACCCTATGGGAAAAATTAGGCTTTTTGACCCTTTTACCCTTTATTAATTAATTAATAACCATTTTGCCCCTCATTCAAAACTATCTATTAATTTGTCCCTCTTTAATCGATTAAGTTGAAGATTTAATCGATTAAATGGTCAAAACTGACAAAAATGGTTGACTTGAAGATTTAATCGATTAAATCTTCAACTTAATCGATTAAATCTCCATAAAGAAACGAAAAGTAGATAAATAAGCTTTGCTTTATGGTTTCAATCATTTGATTATGTTGGATTGTCAATATAGATATAGTCCGAAAACAAAGGCCCCACTTGCTTTTATTACTTGGTGAAGGCAAATTTGTGAAGGAAAATACGCAGCAGACGCCTTTTCTTTTCTTTTCTTTTTTTAAAGCTCATCCATAAACTCCTGTCTGAAAGCATGATAAAAATTGGAGGGGAGAAAAAAAAATATTTCGTTCCTATCTCAAGTGACAAGACAACACTTGCTAACTTTTTGGAGATTTAATCGATTAAGTTGAAGATTTAATCGATTAAATCTTCAAGTCAACCATTTTTGTTAGTTTTGACCTTTTAATCGATTAACTCTTCAACTTAATCGATTAAAGAGCGACAGATTGATAGATATTTTTGAATGAGAGACAAAATAATTATTAATTAATTAATGAAGGGTAAAAGGGTCAAAAAGCCGAAAAACATATCCTTTTTAATTGATTTATGAATTGATTTATTAATTGATTGATGATTTATGTATTAATGTTTGATTGATGATTTAGATAAGATGAGTCAACAAACATAAATTGTTTCGATATGATGAGTTAGCATTGAGTCAATAGTGTATAAAGCCAAAATCTGTTCCATTCAAAACTTGATCGAAGAACCAGCGTTTATTGAAGAAGCTATAGAGTCGATTACAAAAAGTACTTGTTTGAAAGGCTCGTTGGAATTGATCCGCTACGGGATTTACATTATACGCAACAGAAGCACCTGAAGTACTAAACATAATAGGTATTAGTTTGGTAATGGTTGGAGCAGCAAACTCGGATTCGGCAAGAATCTCATTTTTTGGTAGTACGAAGGGGGAATTGGCCCAAAAATTGGATAGGGGTCAAGACGCAGTCGGGCACCAGCGGCTTACTCAAGTGCCCCCCGAACCGCGCGAAATGGTCGCCTATTACACGGCTCACTAACTCTGCCTGGGGTGTGGGGGTACCTATTATTCGTCGGCGGTACGGCGCACCCCTACTCACTTAAAGGATGCTGCTTAATTACGAAGGAAATTCTTTCTGAATCTAGAGAGTTCCCTTTCGTTAAGCGCATCGAGCCAGGAGTGGACATCATCATCTGCAGACAAATCCAGATCCTGTTTCATCATTAGCTTAGCTAAAGTGGAATAGTATGACTGGCTTTCCGGAAAATGAGACGAAACCCGCTTTCTCAATAACTTATCTTTGGCCACTGAAAACCGTACAGAAGCCTGACTTTGGGGTATAGGGAGAGATTCTCAAGATCTGCAACATCATACTTGTCCCTACTCAACTTATTAACTGCCCGTTCAAGGCGACTGATCTTCTCCATCAGAGGATCGGACGGTTGTGGTGGGACGTATGGCACTATCTGATTCATGGGAGTGAGAGCCAAGGACACGGCTGGTACTGCAAGAGGTTTTCTTCGCGTTTGTACGTTATTTAAATCATTCTAGCCTTTCGCTTGCTTATCTTATTATGTTTCTAGTTCTTGCTCGTGGTAAATTGTATATTCTTTCAGTTCTAAATTCATTTCCCCAGACCCGGGGACGACGTACCCTAATACTGTAATAGCTGCAGACAATTGAACAGCCGACATCTTAGGAGCTTTCCATTCAATGTCGTCAGAATCGACCATATTGTGAATGTAACTTACACGCGAGGGCCACCTTTTCTATGACTCCTTTTTCATCTGTTTCCGACGGCACCGTTTGATACTTCAATCGAGAGGGCCGTGGTCGAGAAGCAGGGACCCTCCTCACCATTCCCTTTCCCCAGATTACTGAATGTACCGGAATGAATTCCACATAAAAGACAGGAACTGGGTTAACAAAAGGGGCTCGAACTACAGGGATCTGATACCCGGCTCTCTTGGTATGAGAAGTAGGTTATGTAGGCAGACAACCTTTCCTAGGTTGTTCCGATCGCAAACGGCCAAAGAATCTATTAGTAGTATGCCGGAACTCTTTTTCTTAAGGTGCAGAGCGAACTGTCGGACTAGGAGCTTCGATGGCTTTTGTTTCATAAGCAGTTCTTCCTCTAATAAATAAATGGCGAGAATCTTTTCTTGGTGGTAGGGCAGTAGCCTTTAGCCTTTTCTCGGGACTTTCTCGATAGCCATAAGCTCTTCCTTCCATTAGTCATCTGGGCTTGTAGTTGAAGCAATTCTCTCTGTCAGGCCTATCCGATAGTCTCCCCCATTTCGCTTTCGAGCGAGGTCCTTTTTTATGCAATTTCTTATGTAACAACATGATGCTATTGCTTGCTGGCTACGAATCCCATTTCACGAAATGACTTTTGAGTCATTCTTTTTTTTTTCATTTATTGGGAGACTGAAAAGGGTTTTCAAACTCCACTGCCTTAGCCTTTTCTCTTGATGGCTTTCAATCAGACTAATAATCCGGACTATTAACCTTGGTTAATTCTTTTCACAGCTAAGCTGACTGTTCCGCCATATGCCATACTAGACTTTCTATTGATTAATACCCAAAGCTTTTTAACTATTGCTTAATCAAGCATTCCCGCCGTAGTCACAAGGTAAATCGAAGCCAAGGAACAACCTTTTTGCAGAAACCATAGCACCTACCCTCGTGTCAGGAGCTGGCTTGTGGGCTTAAGCCCGGGAAATCAAATTCCCAGTTGCAAAATAAATAAAGAAGAGCTGAAATAGAATTACCCTCGGTTCCTTCACTTCAGAAAAAAAAACCTTTTAAAGAAAAGAGGCACTATAAAGAAAAGTCTAGGGAAAGGAAAAAGGGGGAGAAGATATAGACACATAGAGAGAAAAAGACCACCTATTCTATTAATAAAATAATAATTGAAAAAAAGAAACACAACCCACACTCATAAGGAAGAATCCTCAAATCCAACCTCTTAGGGGGCTAAATCAGAGGAAGAGAGAGAATCGGGACTCAATAAGCTTCAAGGAAAGGAAGCTTTATAAGATCGGAAATAGTCTGAACTTTCCTCTGCTCTTTGAATAGGACATTAGGCACGGGGGATTCGGAAAAGGCAAAACAAGACAAACAACCTCATTTATTTCGGATAGAATCCGCTGGTAATTCAGAGTTTTACGAGTAAATTCGCGGCGAATCATCAGTTTTCATTTCATTCTTAGATGTGAAAGTCTTACTCTTCTCTGTGCTTATGCTTACTTTACTTCCAGTTTGCAGTCTACGTTTAAGGATTATTCTTAGACTGCTTTCTTTGCTTCGTTCCTAACCTTATAACCGCGTTTGAATGGAACAGTTTTCTTCTTTACTTAGCCAAACCTTCGTAGAGGTGAATCCTAATCATATGGAAGAATCCTAATCATATAGAGGTGAATCAACAGTTGTAATTTTATAAATAACTATTTCAATACTTTTTCTCTCTCTTCCCTTATCACCATTAATGATTCACTCCCGTCAAATATACTATACTACTTCTTTTAAGGGTTAAAAAGTAAATTAATTAATTGTATGCTCAAATTTATAGAAAACACCCATGCAAAGAGACCTTCGCTCTGCAAAAACCTAAAATCAAATTCACAAACATATCTATTTGAATGAATCCCAGTTCAAGACAAAATCTAATCGTTACATCTTCGTGTAGGTCGAAATTTACCTAATAAGGAGTTTTCTTATCTTAGAATCGTTATAGTTACTGTCATTCACTGAATCATAAATTTAATTAATGTTAGAGCAAAAGCCAAACATATTTGTTATGGTGTGAATAGATTCTAAAATATATGGGTCAAACTTACTTGACATAGAAGTTTGGAACCCTAAGATAAAGGTAGGGTCTTCGTTTACCAAGGTAGGACTTTAATAGCTGCTGTCATCATTCACAAAGCCCAATCACCAATAATTAAAACAAGTCAAACATATTTGTTAGAGGGTCAATTGATTCTAAACAGGCGGGCTGAAACTTATTTGACAACATATTTTGCTAGCTCAGGACCATTGTAGTTGTGATCGTCATTCACTAGGTAAGATATTATAACAATCAATTAGGATTATTATCAATGTTATTACTAATTAATTTTATCATTAAATCGATTACATTGATTCAACGGTTATCATTAAATGTGATAAATCATAATCATACAAAGATGGAAATAAATATAACTGTTGGATCAATATAATCGATCTAATGGTGAAATTGATTGGTTGTAACAATGATAGTAACCCTAATTGGTTGTTACAATATCATTTCTAATTTTTTTTAGGGTAAATTGATTCCAACTACCGCAATTAAACAATTAAAGTAAGGAATATTTTTGACAATTTTGACAATTTTGAAGCGAGAAATATACGGTTACAGAAAAGACAAGGATATAGAGGCAGCGTTTTGAGGTTGTGGTACTTTAACTCCAAGGGGTAGTGGGGTTGGGGTTGACTGCGTGAGGTTTATAAGTGTGACGGAAACTGTTTCGACAATATCAAAGAAGTGGACCTGGGTCCACAAGTTGTCAGGCTTTTTTTTATCCAATGCAAGGGAGATGTTCCTACGTGGTACATTGTTAGGGGTTTGATGAATTTCGGGTACAGATCGATGGTTAGGATTGGTTCAGGAGAATGCACTTTTTGACAGAATTGAATTTGGAAATAGAAACTTCTCATCCAGCTTGTGTTTTGCTGCTTGTTATGATGTCATCCTTGGATGTTAATTGTGATACAGATCAAAAATTCTTGCAATCACATGATATTCTTCCTGATTCTTCTCCCTGATTCCATGCATGGATGGACAGATAACTATTTTCCTGAGTATCTAATATAATTTTAATGAAAGAAATTGCCAATATTATCAACCGTTTCTCTTACACTTGATTTAAGTTATTTAACTTTTTTTATTAAAAAAAATTATTTAACTTTTGGCTTTAGTTATAAACTTTTAAGGGGTTTATAAATTTTATGTTACTGCTCCAAAAATAATTTTGCAGCTGAGACAATAAAATATGAGGGCCACAATTTTTTTCTCTCTTTTTTATTATCTCGAGCGCTGTGCGTATCGACCCGTGCAATGCTATAGCTAACGAGTTCTACAAATTTTGTGTTGATGCAGCAATAAAAAATTTATAAGCCCCAATTTTTAATAAAAAAAATAACATGGCATCGAAATTTTGAATTTACTTTTTATGGTAAGCTAGCATTAAATATATATATATATATATATATATTTATATTTAAATTTTAGATACTTTAAAAATTTGATTGCAGTCATTAGAATCAATTTATACCATAATAAAAATATTTGGGTTATTTATGTGATTAACAAAAGTTGGATGCGTTAATTGACATCCATAATTATAACGATCTTAGGGTAGAGAAATTTTTGTCCTATAATTTCCGATACGTTTATTTTAAATTTTGGATACTTCAAAAACAAACTGCCATTGTGAAAATCAATTTATACCATAATAAAATCATTTGACTTATTTATCCGATTAATAAATGTTAAGACATATTTAATGACAATTGTAACTATAACATTTCAAGGGGTAGAGAAATTTTTATGTATATTTGTTTTTTATTTTTTATATCTCAAGATTTGATTACGATAGTTAAAATCAATTTACACCATATGACTATCGATGGTTAGGATTGGTGAATGCACTTTTTGACAGAATTGAATTTGGAAATAGAAACTTCTCATTCAGCTTGTGTTTTGCTGCTTGTTATGATGTCATCCTTGGATGTTAATTGTGATACAGATAAGAAATTCTTGCAATCACATGATATTCTTCCTGATTCTTCTCGCTGATTCCATGCATGGATGGACATATAAGACTTTTCCTGAGTATCTAATATAATTTTAATGAAAGAAATTGCCAAGATTATCAACCGTTTCTCTTAACACTTGATTTAAGTTATTTAACTTTTTTTTATTAAAAAAAATTATTTAACTTTTGGCATTAGTTATAAACTTTTAAGGGGTTTACAAATTTTATGTTAATGCTCCAAAAATTATTTTGCAGCTGAGACAATAAAGTATGAAGACCACAATTTTTTCCCTTTTTTATTATCTCGGGCGCTGTGCGTATCGACCCGATTCTACAAATTTTGTGTTGACGCAGCAACAAAAAATTTATAAACCCCAATTTTTGATTAAAAAATACCATTTCATCGAAATTTTGAATTTACTTTTTTTGGTAAGCTAGCATTAAATATATATATATATATATATATATTTATTTATTAGATACTTTAAAAATTTGATCAATTTATACCATAATAAAAATATTTGGGTTATTTATCTGATTAACAAATGTTGGATTCGTTAAATGACATCCATAATTATAACGATCTTAGGGTAGAGAAATTTTTGGCCTATAATTTTCGATACGTTTATTTTAAATTTTGGATACTTCAAAAATTAAAATGCCATCGTGAAAATCAATTTAGACCATAATAAAAACATTTGAGTTATTTATCTGATTAATAAATGTTTCTAAATTGCGTGAAAGATTGGACAAGTAATATTGGGATAGATATTACTGGAGATTTCTACAAATAGAAAATGCTTTCCATTGGTGGTACGTAGTTGATAGTAGGATATATACATATATAGACTTTCACGTTCAAGGATGTTGTTGTCATCCACTTGCATGTATTCTCTACCAAGTACATTCTCCACTAGCCCAGCTTTAAAGGTATTGTATGATGCTTTGAAAATGACCCAAGCCTGAAACCTTAAGACTCCATGGTATGTATTAATTGTATGGTACATGATTAAAACTTTTAAATGCATTGATGCTAATTTGAATTTTTATTCTTCATATGCAGATTAAGGATCTGGCGCTGAAGCTTTCAGGGAAGAAAATCAAAGGTGGCACCTCCGAGAGCATCAAGTATGACACCGTTTCTAAAGGGGGGTTCCACACGGCTACATTGGTGGTGGAAGCGCAAGTTCAACCCCTGCTTTGGACTACACAAACCCCAATCAATCCCCAATTGGTAACACCACCCCTGGAGGGCGTCAACCTCAACCACCAGCTGGTAGTGTAGCGTTGGTGGACATGACTGGATCCAACGAGTGGATAGCACAGATGGAGCCAGGTGTTCACATCACTGTTGTGTCTCTTCCTATTGGGGGCAATGATCTCAAAAGGATTCGCTTCTTGTATGTATAATATGTCCCATGTTTTGAAAATATATGTAGTACCTTAGAGACCTTCATATATATATATATATGAGAATTTTAGTTGTTGAAAAAAAAATTAATTATCATGTAGTAATAAGGACTTACAATACTTGGCATTTAAATTTGAAGCCGAGACATGTTTGATAAGTCGCGAGCCCAGAGGTGGTGGGCTGAGAATTGCGACATGATCAGGGAGCTTCTTAACATACAGACTTTAAATCAACGTGTTTTCATCACTCCTGCAAGGTCTGATGATAATGAGGTAATCTACAACTTTTACACACATATGATGTTGTTAAGAGTTAAGACTCTATTTCATCGACCTTGTTATTTTTCATGATACTTCAATTCATGTTTATCACTATATCGTGAGAAGAGGTTGACATAAATAAGAGCTCTCTAATGGATTCTCGAGATTCATTCATGTACATTACTATTGCCTTTGAACAGAACTCCGGGGAATCTGAACAAGATATCCCAATGGCTTCAATGCTGAACATGGATTCGACTCGGGGGAATTTCCATGCACCCGCTGGGAATATGGGGTATTTCCATGGTGGGATATCAAGGGCTAACAACCCTACTGACAATGACATGGATGTTGAATGGGTTGAGCAGGATGATCCTGGAGTGTCAATCACTGTGAAGAGGTCAGCTAATGGGACTAGGCAAATTTGCCGTATCAAATTCAGGTAATATAAAATGCATATAAAAAACATGTTCCTTATTGTTTTTTCCTTCGTAATTAGATGGTCGTAGGAGCATGTTCTTTGGTGAAATTAGGAAATGGTAAAATCCTAGATTGCAGGTAACATGTTGCCAAATTTCATTTAAAAATTTATTTAGAAGATTAGTGGGTTTTGATTTGACTCTTTGTTAACTCTGTCTGCAGCCGGGAAATTTTTGATGCAGATGCAACCAAGGATTGGTGACTGCGCAACAGGTTCGAGATCATGCTCAGTATATGTGAAGCCTTGTTGTTGTGAAGAAAAGTGGATGTTCTAAACTGCTGGAATTTTCAACTTTTCTTTCCTAGACATTGTTATCTTCTTCTTGTTGTTGTTCACTCCAGTATATGTAGTGTAGTCTTGGTGATGGTCTCTTAATATGTTATAGTTGGTACTGTTTCATTAGTTTAAGTTTGTGGTTCTCTATTTACTCCAATTACTGTGGGGTATATTGCTGTTGATTTATCTTTTGTTGAACATTTGGTAAGTTTGGTTATTTAAGACCAACTTGCTCTTTTATAATATATATTTTCCTTGTGTGGTTTATCAGCGCAAGCTTGTGAAAACCCTATATGTTGATGAATGATACGTAATCTTTTCCCTAAATCCTTAGAGATCCTTCTTAAAACTTAAAAAAAAAATATTTCTGTTATAAAAAAAAAAAATTATATATATATATATATCTTTCAGACATAATAAGCATTATAAAAAATATTACTTCGTTTAACTCGTGATATCACTGCAGTCCTGTTTGCATAAAATATTTAAAAAATTTAAAAGATTATATATACATATTAAAACTGTGTACCCTATAGGAAAAATTAGGCTTTTTGACCCTTATACCCTTAATTACTTAATTAATAACCATTTTTCCCTTCATTCAAAACTATCTATTAATCTATCCCTCTTTTATCTACTTTTCGTTTCTTTTTGGAGATTTAATCGATTAAATCTTCAAGTCAACCATTTTTGTCAGTTTTGACCTTTTAATCGATTAAATCTTCAACTTAATCGATTAAAGAGCGACAGATTGATAGATAGTTTTGAATGAGAGACAAAATAATTATTAATTAATTAATGAAGGGTAAAAGGGTCAAAAAGCCGAAAAACATATCCTTTTTAAAATGTCATGATTTGAATAGTCTTATTTTTTTTCGCGTGTTTCTTTTTTGATGTTACAAGAGAAAGGCATAAAAATAACGATAATAAAACCTGTCAATTATTCATATAAAATTTATAAAACTTAATTTAGTGTCCCAAATTCGATTTGAATAGATAAAAAGGTGGCACTGTACTTTAAACAAAGCACAACGATCAATTAACAAAATCACAACAATAATAATATGATAGATCAAGATACGTATGCATAATCTGTTTTCCGAATTATGCCCTAGTAGTGTACGTGACGATTATTTAACATTACAAACTAAAAAACAGATTAGTTGTATAAAATTAAAATAAAAAATAACCCACGGATTAGTTGAGAAAACCTCTAAAAGAGCTTAATAAATGATTTGATAATATATTTGAATTTCTCATCCATCGAGATATAAAAATCCCCTTGATTCCGATCATATGACTACTACAAAAGGTATCAAATATCAAAACGAATTCTCTCATATGTTTTATTTAACATGATCACATCATATGGAAGAATCCTAATCATATAGAGGTGAATCAACAGTTGTAATTTTATAACTAACTATTTCAATACTTTTTCTCTCTCTTCCCTTATCACCATTAATGATTCACTCCCGTCAAATATACTATACTACTTCTTTTAAGGGTTAAA